TGTTGTATAATATCATGCCAGTGAAAGTGACCAAAATTCTTAATTTCAGACCATGAATGTCTCAAAATTTCTCTTAATTTTACACGATCCTGAGGATAGTCAAGAAAAGAAGCACTTACGAATTAGTTTAAAGTAAAATCACACTTGGTTTCCGCTCTAGCTATCTCCAGTTATCCAGTGGGGGCATTAGGAAGAACTGAGAAATATGTTTATTTCTACCTCATGGAATCACTTTCAACAAACTTTCCCTCAACAAATTATGAAGTGGTCCAAATGCTATACCCACTGAAATTGGCCTTGTTTGAATTGCACTGGTGCCGCCAATGGGTATGTTTATTCTGTTTCAAGGCACTAACACGGGTCGTGCCGTAACGTGTGCTGACTTGGCGACACCACCACCAATGCGAGATGGTCTTGAATTCCAAGGTGAACCCAGTTTGTGGCCTAAACAATGCCGCCACCGTTAAAATAAATTATTATGACTGGTCTGACGAACAGACGGTGATCTCCTTACCGCAATAGTATGCTGTGGCCAATGGTTTAGCGTTTTTAAATTTTTTACTTAAAGTACAATAAAAGGGAAGTTGTTGAGTCACTAAGCGAACAGTTTCCTGATATATGTACATACATACTTCAGTATACGAGTACATACATTATATACATAGTGTGGAACAGCCAAATGGAATAAATTTAGTAGCTCCATTATGCATTTTTTTAGAAAATAATAATTTAAATAGAAATAAATTCTAAAAATAATAATTAAATAGAAATGTCTTCTAACGTTAGTTAACATCTGCGGGGTAATCGACCTAATTGCAAGTGTTATTCTTCTTCTTAAGTCAGCTAAATCGTCGGGTTTGTCTTTGTAGACCATACTTTTTACATATCCCCATAGGAATAAGTCTAACGGCGTGAGATCAGGTGATCGTGCAGGCCATTCTACAGAACAACGTCTCCCTGTCCAGCGATTTGGAAAGATTGTGTGGAGATATTGCCGGACATTGACTTCGTAATGTGCTGGTGCACCATCCTGCTGGAACCATATTGCAATACCTGGAAGTTGTGGGTTTCCTTCAGCTGGATACAAGTTTGCCATCGTCGGTACAACATTATTTTGGAGCAGCGATAAATAATTTCTCCATTAAAATTGCCGTCAATGAAGAAGGGGCCAATTATATTTTCTCCAATTATTTCTGCCCAAACACTTTCTCAGGATTTTGCGTGTGTAGTTCCCTCATCCAGTGAGGATTTCCTCTCGACCAGTAGCGACAGTTTTGGCGATTAACATGGCCGTGAAGTGTAAATGTAGATTCATCCGAAAATAAAAAAAATCTATTTGTAAAGTATTGTCATCTATCATTTGCTTCATTTGTTCACAAAAGAGAACTCTTCTATCAAAATCGTCTTCCGCGAGCTTATTAGTTGGTACCAGTTTATATGGGTGCATCTGATTTTCTGTCAATACGCGGAGAATCGAGGAATGTCTAATATTTAATGCTGAAACTGTTTGACGACGTGACGTATGTGGATTTTCTTCAAGCATAAGCATTGCATCCAATTTCTGATCATCACTGAGTTTATTGGGAGGATTTTTCTTTAGCTGCCGTACATGTCCACGTTACCGAAACTGCTTCTCTATTTTACTTACGGTACCTTGAGATATCGGCGGATATTTTTCTTGAAATAGGCGAACAATTTCAGCCTGCCTTCGTGTTCTGTCTCCGTAACCAATCATCTGCAGAATCGTTATCTTATGCATTTCTTGAGATGGTTAGGTAAACCATCCCTCTGAATTGCAACACGAAAATTAAAGTAAAAAGTTTAACACTGATAACTGTTAACTACTGTTACAATGACAAGCACGTTTCTAGCTAATTTCACTAAAGCTGATAATGGTCAACTTCTTAAATTTCTGGTTTGGTTTGTTTTGTTTTCTGCTTGCTCGTTTTTGTCGTTCGATTGTCAACCAAAAAATTGTACGTATTTATTAGTAAATTTTTATCTTATAGTAGGGAATGTCGGCAATTGCAGACATTTATTTTTTGTTATTAACATTTCAGAACCTAAAATTGATAAATAGTGTTACTTATAAAAGTTTTATTTTAATGTAACGAATTTCCTACGTTGGAGAAACAGATCTTTATTTCTTTTAATTTCTGCAATAAAATTTAGAACCATAGCAGTTCTGAATAGAGAATGAAAAGACTTTTCGAATGAAGTATCACAAGCCCCTACCAATTTGAAAATTTAGGTGTTGCAGTTGTCTCCTGAAGGGGGTTGAATTTATGGATGGTCATTTTAAAATTAGAAATTGACGTGTCTCAGAATTTTCTAAAAAAATGCATAATAATGGAGCTACAGAATTTATTCCATTTGGCTGTTCCACATTGTATATACATATGTACATACAAATGTATGTATGTATTACCCATTTATGTACTGTCATGGAAATCAAACTCATATATTTTTTATTTTGTCCAAATTTGTACGGAATTGACATAACATCACTGATACATTAGTTGATATTACTCATCATTGAAAATTAGTCCTGTTTTCAGTTGTAGCCAGTAATCTACAACAGATCACACATTTTATGGAACTTGTAATCGCAAATTGATCAGTCATGAATCATATGAATGTACGAATTACAATTATTAGGCACTCACTATTTTCAGAGATGATGTTTTTTTTATGAAACCATTTTCATGATATACAAGGAGTAAAAAAATATAAAAAGTTGTTGTATCGAAAGTAAAAAAAATTGTTTAGAATAAAATCTAGTACAATTCCTACCATAAGCAAGGCGTGCCATTTGTATTCTCATTGTAGAATTGGATACAATGACATAAACTAGACACCTTAAATGGTTAAAGGTGTTTACTTTGATTGAATATCTGAAGGTCGTTTAACTATTTTGTTGGTTTTGCCCGATACCTTTTACGAAACGGGGTAGTGCTAGTATTTTCTAAAAGAATTATTATTGCCGATGCAATTGTAACAGTATCCTTGCGATTTGTGGAAAGTTGTTTGACTTGACTGGTCGACAAACAACTATGAATTAGAGTTTCATTTGAAATCAGACGGATACAAAAAAAAGGTTTTCGCAAAGGCGATACAAATACAAATTTTAACGTAGCTATCCCAGCTTTGTTCCCAACCATCATCTCTTTTCCATCATCAAACATTTTACTTATGTATTATACCGGTTAGGAAAGTGCAAGATTTCAAAGCCGAGCATTAATAAATAAGAAAAGAATAAACTCTGACAGATAGAGGAACTGACAGAGAAATATTATATCCAGTGTTGCCAGACTGACATGTCATTTTAAAACTATGGGCGTTATTCTCTGTCTTTCGTGATAGGGTAGCAATAAAATATGTAGGTGGGACGCCCCGCCCATAAATTATAATGCGCACGTGTGAATTGAATTATTACAGCATTATTGGTTTACGGAAAAAAAGCACTTGAGTATTCCTTGCGTACGTAGTTGGTATTTTAGGCGATTCCATCGTTGGGGCCATTTTTTATAAACGGTTCCTTAAATGCAAACAAATATTTAACAAATAAAACAAACTGTTTACGGACATGAACATGAAAGACCACGAAATTTAAATGATTTACGGGCCAGAATTGTACAAGTCCTAAATTGTTACGCTTAAGAAATGTTAGAACGCGTAAGCACTGAGTTTTACGATAGACCAGGGTTTTGCGAAGAACAAAGGGGCGACATTTTGAACCACTTATTCAATAGGCATTTTTTTCTTTCATTCGTCTTATAACCGGGTTGATTTATATTTATATCTTTTTATTTTTTATAGAACTTCAATTTTATTTTCTTGCAGACCGGTTAGTTAAGGAATACAAAAATTTGAAAATAAATACAATTATGTTCGTACACTTCTTTTAAGTGTATGGGATAATTTTAAGTCAGAATTACGTAAGAATTTCGTTTCATACAGCTAAGTCGATGTACATCCTCATTGCTGCGAAAAAAGTACTGAGTCCGACTCACTCAAATTCGTTAGGTGATGGGCGGTATCTCTCCACCTCCACATTCCAGTTTCTGTTAACGCGCAGGTAACGTTTTACATCATACGTTTCTAATACGCACACAAGCGTGAAACACTGGTGCATCTAACTTTGTCTGTCCTTACTGGTGTATTTTAACTTATTCTCTTCTACACATGTATCGCCAATATGTAATGGTGCAATTTCCTATGGTGTATGCTCTTAAAATTAATTCGTAAATTATTCCGTGTTACCACTACAATAAAAATCTTTCGTGATGTCAAAACTGGAGCAGACTGCAAAAACAAGTACCTGTTGTTATCTCCTATGATACGCAGATAACAATCGGGTAACCTTCCAGATTACATCGGTGTCTTTGTCTACCGACAGATGTTTCCCAATTATTCTCAAGGTAACTTGTAATGAGTCGAATTTTCGTCGTCACGCCGCGACTATACACGGGCCCTGACTCACTCTCCAAGAAGTTATGCATGTATACACTCCCTCACAAAATTTAGAGAACACATTGTTTCCTTAAAAAATATTACAAAAAAAAATTGGGCGACAAAAAGCAATAATTTCAACGCATTGCAAAGTAGTAAGCAGGAATTATAATTCCATAAGAAAATTAAACGTTATAATTCCATAAGATTATTAAACTTCAAAAAACGTTTCATATATACTTTGATTTTAAAGTACAAGAGAAATCTTTAAAGTCACATCTGTAAATAACTATGGCTGCTTAAACGCGACTAGATGTCATTAAAAACACCATGGGACATTTAGCTGAAGTATTTTCTTTCATATTCATAAGTACGAGGCAAATTTCGGAAATCATTGTCGATTACAATAGACACTATTTACTATGATGAATAATCAAATAAAAATAATATCACACTACAGAAATTGATATTATCCGTCTAGGAGTCGTTACGATTGTGCAGGGGTAGAATACATATGAGAAAGACGTAGGACACACAACCAAATCCTGTGACACAGGCGGGATTCGAACCCGCGCGGATGATAGCTCTGGATGTAATCGCCAGTCTTCGCACCTGGCGCTTTACCCACTGAGCTATCGCTACGGCCCACGATGTTGCTGTAATTTATATTAATAATTTATTAGTAATTTACCACCAAAACGTTCATTTTACATTTTGTTGAGAGTAGACTGTACCTTTTAATGCTATAAAAAATGGTTTGTTATATAATATTTTCTTTTTTCTGTACGTTTTCATACTCAATGCTTTAGCTGTTTGAGATGGTGTGTTCAAACAAAAAAAGGTGGTCTCTACATTTTGCTGCCCAGTGTATATGAGCAATGATATTCCGAGCTTATGTGCATTCAGTGGAAATGATTTAGTATTATGTTGCTTAAATTTACGTTAATTGTTCCATAGTAATCGACCGCAATAACGTCAACTGTGCCTTTTGTTCAAAAAAGTAGAGTGTAACTTTCATTCACCTTTTTTTTTTTTTATAATACTCATGCCTTTTGTTTTTGTACATAGTCATACCTAACGGTTGGAATTGTTTTTTCAAAGAGAAAATTAAGCGGATCCTAAATGTTGTCGCTCAGTGTATACGCGTACTCTTGATATTCCAATGTTATCTCCGGTGCTTTTTTTATCTCGCTTATCGTCGACTCGCACACAGAAAAAAAACGCGGACGGATTTGATACGCAGCAGAGTAAACATCGCCTTTAAATTTACGACCTAAATAATATGTATGTAGGTATTACTGGATCATCGAATATTGAGCAACAATAAGTCGTGCCATAATCAACGGTGGCGCCTAACGTCGAATACTCCCGGTATTTACGGTGCCCGTTCGAAATTTGAGAAATTATAGTCCTTCTAAACTGAATGTGAAGAGATCAATTTTTAATTCCTTTGATGACTAACACCGCCCGATGGCGTGCATATATCTTTTACAAATTCGAAAATTGTGAAATAGTTTTTTTCATTCAAAACAACATATGAGATTAAAATTAGCCTGCATACGAAACTCATAATATTTGTAATATAATTTTCTGTAAATAATGCTCATTTAGCCAGACTTACTCGTTATTCAGAAAAGTTTTAATAAACCTAGCTGAAAAAAACACCAACACGTCACTGGCGGAAACAAGAAAGAATTCCTAACGTCGTAAATCATTTTAACGACACAGTGGACCGCATAAATAGCTAACGAACGTATTCGATGCAATGCAAAATACTCTAATTGGGTCACTGTAAGTCACTTGCCGGCGTGCAGTATTCAGAGCGGGAATGCTGCATGTTGCCGGCTTCAAAATTTTTTTAAATATAGTAATATACATAAAGTTGTTTTCATTTATAATTCTTTTTTTCCGCAATTTTAAATGCCTTATTTTAATGCTAACTAATAAATTTATATCTATGTATATTTTTTTATATTTCCAAACTAGCTTTCTAAGAACGTCACGAACTAACAGTTTACTGAAAATGACATTTGTATAGTGCTTAGCAAATTGAGAAAATATATCTGACTGTTTGGAGCTCAACTAGAGCCCTAATTTAATTGTTTTGATCAGTTAGCAATATGACATTTGAGACATAGGCTCAATAGGCTGAGTCTCAGATAAATTACGGTGATGGGGGCGCTTTGACCGCAGAACGTTATGTGAGAGACATCCTGTAAGATATTGTAGTGCTTTTGCCCCATACTTAGTCGAAAACTTCCTCCTAATGCACCATAATTGACTCCCATCGAGCACGTCTGGGAAGAAATTAAATATTGGCTCATATGCACAGCTAAAAGCAGCGTCTAAATTCACCAACGAAACAAGACGCGATGTACTGAATCACAGGCGCGTAAATAGAAGATCGTACGATACCGTCCACGTCCATCGATTAATATGGTCTGTCGTCAACAAATATGACAGGTGATTTCCTCTAGCCGATATTTTATCTAATTCCAACGGCTCCAAAGTGTAAATTAAAAATTCGTAAGTTAAATTATTGTAATTGCAGTTTGCTTGTTTGAATAATCATACATACATGTGTAAGTATGTATGGAAGTGTGAGGTGTGACTACAATGAGTGATAATAATGCAGTGTGAATGCAGTGATACGGATAACTGCTTGATACGACTAAAAATAATTCTGTTCGGGTCAAGGAGTTTTGAAAATAAACAAGCGATAATTTCACAGGTGCGTCTTATTCCTTCACTTACAGTTGTGTAGCAATAAAAATTTTAACAGGTATTTTAACAGCAGAGGCAGCTGAAGGAATTCGAGGCTCTCGCATTTTTTTACGGAACATGGGACCCACATCACATTTTAGGGTGTGATTATTGGACCTAAGTAGAAAGCTAGAGTAGCAAAAAAAAAACTTTTTGCTACGGTAAAAAACAAATTTTCGAAAAAAATCAAATAAAAATGTGCGCTAAACGTGTCATGGTCAAGGTCATAGTTAAGGTCATAGACAACACCATATTTAAACGTAGAATATTTTGTTTCCAAAACCCCGATAAAAAATAGGAGTACCCATTTTTTTATGTCTGAGACCTTGATATTACTCTCAAGGTCATAATCAAGACCTTATTTAAATTTCAAATTAACTGCTGCATTTGAATGAAGCAGAAAATCCACGATAAAAATAACAGAGGTTCCCCTTTTAAAAACGTCAGTGACCTTGATATGACTCTCAAGGTCATTGTCAAGGTCATGACCAACACCATATCTGAACGTAATTTTCCGCTCTTTCCAAATACACGATAAAAATAGGGGTTCCATTTAAAAAAATTCTCGTGACCTTGATATGACCTTTAAGGACAAAGCCAAGGTGAAATCTAAGGTCACCGATGGAAAGCCAGGGAAATTTCCTGAACCTTGTCTAATACACTTTTCTCTAAAATGCACTTTTCGCGAGATTCTTAAGGGTTTCCATATTTTTGACTGACCGTGTGTAGAAAAATTACAAGTATAAAAAGACTGTATATGTCTGATGTCGCCCTGTATACTTATCGAAATCTGTAAAACTTATGATTAAATCGTTGGTAAAAATTATAGTTTGAATTGTTATTTCACTCCAGAACATCCTTTTTGTGATTTCACAATAGCTTTATCTGTAAGCAAAATGAAAATTTTTGCAAAAATCACAAGGATAAAAAGTTTTTATATTCACCTGGTAATGGTGAAAAAAATTCGCATACATTTGGAAGTCGTTTTTAAGATCTTCTGGCGGGACACGAATTTTAAAATGTTTTTCCCACGTCTCCTTACGAAAACACGATACATTTTACTAGCCGTCACTGATAACAGTAAGTTTTATAACAGTTACACGTGACTACACGTTCCAAACAACTAAATAAATGGGTAAATGCCTTTTTTTTGTATTATTTGAGCCTACCCTGACTTGACTGACACTGCACGCCGCTGCCCTGTATACAGGGTGTCCCGGAAAATGTGGGAAAGGTCTCGGATTCAAATAGAGCATGAAAAAATAAGATGACAAGTTCCTATAATTTTTTTCCTACAGGCCCTCCCTACGAAGATATTTGTCCCCGAAGGACGCCGCTGGAAATCGATTTTTCTTGAATAACTTTCAAAGTAATTAATAGAGTTATAAAATTTTAATATGATATACACTACTAAGAACCGCTTGAAATAATGAAGAATGCAGTTTACAAACTGGCTATTGGATCGGCAACGAAACAATGTAAAAAAATATCAATGTTCTTTTCACGGATGAAGCAAGTTTTATTAAAAATGGTATTACCAACTTACACAACGCACATGTATGGGCTGATGAAAATCGTCGTGCCACTGTTGTTTCGCATTATCAACATCAGTTCCAATCAATTAATGTTTGGGCTGGGATCATTGGCAATTTTTTGATTGGACCATTCGTATTGCCGGAACGATTGAATGAACAGCTATATTTGGAGTTCCTCCAGAATGATTTTCCGAATTTAATAGAGGACTTACCACTTGAAATCTGCCGAAATATGTACTTCATGCACGATGGGGCACCAGCTCATTACAGCGTTGGTGTGCGGGAGCACCTCAATAACATCTATCCAAACCGTTGGATAGGTAGAGGAAGACATATTGCCTGGCCTCCTCGATCTACCGACCTAACGCCGTTGGATTTTTATCTGTGGGAACACCTGAAAAACTTGGTGTATTCCACTCCGGTCGGCACTAGGGAGGAACTTTTACAGCGAATTACGTTTCATTGTGATGCAATAAGGAACAACGCTGGGTTATTGTGGCGGATACAGCAGTCCTTAATTTGTCGTGCCCGCGAGTGTATCAGACTTCACGGGGGCCATGTTGAACCCTCTTATGAAGTTTTTCAATAGTTTCGTTAAGATGCCTCCTGGAACACCACTGCGTTTTTTAAATTTTGATTTTTTCTCGAATTAAACGACTTACAGTGAAACTTTTTTTGATGTTGTTTGAATGACCTTAATAAAACATGAATTGGTTTATTATTATTTTTCTCGAAAACGGTCCACTTTATCGACAATAAACAAAAGTAGCTTTTTTTAGTGTAAGGTTCGAGCTACCTAATTTTTATTGTTTTAAGTTTCTATCACACAGGATGTTAAAAATGTAGGCATTAAGTTTTAAAACTTAGTCCGCCACTGGCAAACTAAACAAACTAATCATGTGTCAAGGACATTATTTGAAGCAGTACTTAGTAGTGTCTATCATATTAAAATTTTATAATATTCTATTAAGTACATTATAAGTTATTCAAGAAAAACCCGATTTCCAGAGGCGTTCTTCGGGGACAAATATCTTCGTAGGGAGGGCGTGTAGGAAAAAACATTATAGGAACTTGTCATCTTATTTTTTCATACTCTATCTGACTCCGAGAGATTTCCTACATTTTCCGGGACACCCTGTATACATATCCGATAAAAAAATTCAACGCCTAAATTACCCAAGTTTCTCCTTGTTGCAGTGAATGTTCAGCCACCGCCCCCCCTGGATCGCCGCCTCTGCCTCGTACCATGCCAGGAACCGCCGCCGTTCTGCCGATCGGGGTGAGCTGATCTCCGGCTGACTATGGCCACAGACATGAGATCACCAAACGTGTCAGTCACTCCGATCAA